CTTTGGATTGAGCATACTGTAATACATCTTGAAAACGCTTTATAGATGATGGTATGTCAACTGATGAATTAATGGCGTCCTCCACGTTTGCGACAAACTGTTTTTGTGCATCAAACGCCGTCCCAGTACCGATAATGGACATTCGTGTTTGCGATTGTGCACCGAGAATTGCCCATACATAAGTTCTTATCGATTCATTAACTCTTTCAAATCCTGGGTTAGTAAAATTATTTTCCGTTTTATCATTAAGAAATCCATTCCAAGCGTCTGTTGTATCGTTTGGATGCACAAACTTTGTTATAATATAAGGAATGCCACTCTCAAAGTTCATACGATCTGCTCTAAACTGTTTACTTGAGAGAGCAAAGCCTGAAGGGATCACACGCTCTTTAATTAAATAATCGCTTTTATCTTTAATAGTTCTTTGTCCATTGTACGGAATACCTAGACCATGGCTAGGTCCTTTAATGGGCCAATCTTTACTCGTAGAAACATTAAATTCATTACAAATACGTTCGAAGGCCCTCTTATTATAATGATTATTTGCATGATTCCATGCTGGATCCAGCTGTAATGGAGCACTAATTTCTTTAAGTATACGTCTAATCTGATAGTACACGTGAAATAATATAACAGACTTATATAGTTTAAATCCTGGGGCATTAACAGATACGCCACATCCCGTTGTTGCACACCATACGGCAAAGTTTAACTGATTCTGCCAAAATTGCATCGGACGGTTAAACCAATCGTCCACCATTGTATCGTTAGTTGCCGTGAAACTGTATTTTTCAAAGATATCGTGGAATTTAACGGTAAACTCAGCACCAGAGGCAGTTACTATAATTGATTGATTAGTAATGTAAGTTGATTTCATATTTAAGTTATGATATAATATCATTGTATATTTCATATGTATGGTACACTCCCGGGAATAACAAATGGTCAGTCTATTCAACTGCTTCATACTATCGATAACTCAGATGGACAAATCGAAGTAGCTCTATGCGATGTAACGTATTACCCGCTGTGGACCAATATAAGTGCTGCAAGAGGTAATAATATTATATTGATATTAAGAAAAAACGACTATAATATTGTTGACAAATACATTATTGTACCTGATGGGTATTACAGCGTATGCTCACTCAATGATGAAGTTTTTAAGCCGCATGGAGTTAGTATCACACAAAATGAGGCGACTGGGAAACTGAAATTCGACTCTGGAGAAAATAATGCAAAGATTTTAACGAACTTAGCAGTTACACTCGGATTTTTAGATGGAGATATGTCATTCCACAAGGCATGGTTAAAGGGACGTGCTTTACCCGATTTAATTTCCTATAAAGAGTTGTGATCAAGTTGTGATCAAATCAGTACGACGGATAATATTCAAATAGAAAGTCCTTCAACTCTGCTCAGATCTATTCCAGTGAAAAATGAAAAATATAATAGCGGTAGAACGGAATCTTTCTCGTCATTACAATATAAAAAATTAAAGCGGGGTATTATTTCAGACCTCAAAATTTCTGTATTAGATGTAAAACACCAACCTGTACATATAGGATACTTAAGTCTAACACTCCATATTATAAATAATGGTTGATGCATCAGGCCCTGGAACGCTCAGACAATGTAATACAATTGCGCTTTCCGATCTCGGAGACACAGAAGGATTCGGTAAACCCGGTACCAATGGTAAGTTATACGCTTTACACTTACACGATAATGTATACAATCGGAAAGAAGTTACATTCACGGGTAACCTAGAAGATTTAAGTGATGTCGACGTTGTTAGTAGACTCCTTAAGAAAAACACTTCGTATAATCTTACTCGCAACGACGATAAAAAATGGACTATGGTCGAAGCAAACATCGAGTGGCTACTGAACATCGTCATTACCCCACCGTATGTGATGATGGGTAAGGCACATAATTTAACTAAGATAATGAATAGTGGGATCGTACTCGGGGCTTATATCCCATCAAAACGAAAAAGTGTGTTAGTCTCTCCCCTGCCAGAAAACCCAGGTCATATGTTGTATAGTCGTCCGGCAGTAAAAAATGTTAGTTTAAATTTGGTTACTGAATTCAATGAAATTAAAGTTAACTTCAGTGCAATACCTAATCTTTCTACGCTTATTATTGAAGTCTTGTTCGGAGATGTACCGGAAAATGCCTTCGAAATATTACCAGGTCTATCGATTAAATGGCTCAAGAAACACGAGCATCAACGTTGCAGTATTATTCATATCGGAGCATCGCCCGTTGCAACCCTCGAGGGGGTCCAAATTATTAAAAGTGGTAGTATTTCTCTTACTAAGATATTCTTGCCGTTTAATATACATTTAATAAGGTTGATGTATACTCTCAAAACATTTAAGCAAGACCAATTAAAGACTATTATATGATCGTAATATACACTATGCGTTTATATCCAGCGCTCGATGAAGCAATTGAAAAGATGGATACTGTTGATGGATTTCGATTACATCAAATAAGCGACATAAAACATCGAATAGAGAAGGATAGGGAGTTGAGACTTGGATTGTATAAAAAGTATCGCAGAGCCGTGAATGCTCTCGACGGAGTTGACACCGCGCTTGTAGCAGCTGGCATGGGACTCGGTGTAGCTGGTGTCGGTTTACTATCAACTATAATCGCCGTGCCTATCGTGCTCAGCATGGAAATAGCCGCTGGAGTCTCGGGACTGGCAGGAATAGCGATAAAATTCATTTCTCGTAGGTTACAAAAGAAAGCATTAAAACACGATAGTATTCGGATACTCGCCGAAGCAAAGTTGAACAGCATTGAGGATCATATTTCGACAGCAATGGTCAATTGTAAGATATCCGAGGATGAGTTTCGTTTAGTGCTGTCGGAACTCACCAAATACAACGCAATGAAGCAGGAGATTCGATCAAAATCTCATAAGACCAGTGGTATTAGCGAAGACGAGAAAAAAAAGTTCATAGAACAGGGGAGGCAACAAGCGCGTCAATTATTCCGTGCCAAAACCAAAGAACTGGTTGGAGATTAAAAATAGATTGCTTACAATCGTTAGATCACATGTAGACAAATGCTTACATAAATATATATAATAATGGAGAAAGTTATTAAATGTAGAGAATTACCACAAGGTTTTTATCATATCAGTGATGTCAAACCAACCAAATACGGTTATCAATTGTTTCTTATCAATTTACAAGAAGAGTGTAGTTATATAGTCTGGTCTTCTAGTAAAATGAACGAAGAACTTAATAAAAATGTTGAATATCGCTTTATTGATAAAAATAATAAAGAATATTTTCATTACCATTTAGGCTCATCTAAAGCATTGATTGGCCCCAGGTATTGGTGAGCTAGAGCCAATTTAACTTAATCTCATGACTATCATTGAATCGCATAATCATTTTGGCATAAAAAATGCCACCTGTAGTAGCAGTATAGGTATATGAATCTGGCTCCAGTGGAAGTGGTCCAGAACCATCATTACCTATACTACTGTGCCGATATACTCCAACATTATTTCTTCATTACTCCAGTGATTGGCTGAATGGGTCACGTGGTCATGGAAGTTGTCCTTGGGGTGGCATTTCTCAGTCAGTCCTTGGTAGATCACTTGGGGGGATAACAGGTTTCTTGATGCAGTGCAGCATGGTCATTTCACGTTTGTCTTCAACACCAATCACGTTGATTTGATTTGCACCTTGACTCACTAGTGTCCAGAATGAATTCGTCTCACTTCTTTTGAAAGCCAGGTGGTATTTTCCTAGCAGCTTTTGCAGCTTCCCTTTTAACAAATCAGTACCTGATGAGGAAGGAATATGACCACGTCTTATTTAGTAGGATTGAGCCACCATTTTCAGCAAGAAAGGATCTGATTTCATGTAGCACAATGCCACATGCAGTAGCAATTACAATATGCCGGTTTATAATTCCACCAGCCAAATGTTCATACACAAGCTCACCCCAAAACACTGGTCCACCACGTTTCTTATGAGTAAGTTCGGTCACCTCAGCTAGTGTGTCTGCAGATTTAGAATTAGCATAAGCCTCCTCCATGTTCAGTGGCATACTTGGTAACCTTAGAGTTTGAGGTGAGTAGTTGTTGTTGATCCTTTTTCTCTTGACACCACGTCGACTGGTTGTAAAATCATCTGCATCTAATGTATCTAGGGTTGTCATGTTCACTGCTTCCACCCTGGCAGCTTTCAATGGGGTTGATGCCTTGGCTGGATCAGGCAGACCAGGCAGAGCAGGGAGCCTCTTGGTGACCCTGACGTAATCCAACATGATTGTGAATACTAGTACTCTTTAGTCTGGAGACAAAGCATTAAACTTGAGTTGGTTCAATCATTTTATTTCCTTTGAACTTCCTTAATGCCAGTCAACAGAATAAACACAAAAATTATCTGTTGTTTTTAGGAAAACACTATAAATTATTTTCAGGGAAGTACTCTACTCAGCACTAATAAGCAGTGCTATTTGGGGCACACATCCCTGCTGAATATGAATGTAATAGTCCTGATTGCCCTGTGCTGTGTGTGAAGTGATAACAGTCAGCCCCATCTCTATATTGACAAACTTCCCTGATCCCCGGTTATCACAACGATCCAAGCAGGAGGATCTTCTGATGGATCACAAGTCCATTGTCTGGAGACACAGCCTGTGGTTGTCACAGATCAGTAATAGATTCAAACATCTAGTCTAAGTGACCATCCATCCAAGTTGAGACAGATTTAGTCATGATGTACATTAAACAAACAGGCCATGACAAATGCTCACTTCACTTTCAGTCAGGTGAGCTAAAATTTGACTAAAGTGACAGTCAGCAGCATTCTGCAGAAATCTATGTAATTACTTATTTGTTCATACAGTATGGCCCTGACTTTAGGACAGTTCATATTCAAATGAACTCACAGTGAAAATCAACTCCTTAATAAATATGTCCTTTTACTTGTTAGCCTGATTTATTATCAGAGTGAAAACTAACATACCAGACTTTGCGGTGCTACAGATGGCCAGATGACAGCTGGATTGGGATCATACATTGGATTGAGATATTGTTGCAGAATCTCAGGCCTGTTGATGAAAGACCTACAATAAAAAAAGAGAGGAAATATAAGGTAATTACTTGATATGTTTATTATAATAGAACACAGTTGGAATAACTAGAAACTAACATTAACGGTAACCGTACAGTGTCTTAACGGTCGGCTGGGTTGCCGAGGAGTCCGTCTGGCGACCATACAATGTCTTAGCTGGGGAGTATGGCCTTGCAGGACCCTGCTGGGACCCAAGCAAAGATTTAGCTGACCGTGTATCATGGTAGGGAAAAGCTTGCGAGCTTATACCTGGCTCGTCGGCAGGCTGGCTGTACGGCTGTACGGCTGATCAGTTGCCTGGATGGTTGGCTGTTTGGTACGCTTGGCTGGGGTAGGTCCTACGACCGTGTGTGTTGCAAAGACAGATGGCTGTCCCCCATGCGGTCTCTTGACAGGGGAACTCTTCTTAGCCAGAGCTGGCTGTCTACTCTTCATCATCTCCATATCTTTGTTTAAGGCGGAGAACCCAGTCTCAAACATGGCCATCTCCTGATGTTGCTTGAATAGTTGTTGATTCAGACTCATGGAGAGTGCAGGAAATGGTAGTTCTGATGGAGTAGTTGTAGGAGGCATTAGAGTAGAGTCAGAGGTCTGATCATTGTCCACCGCAGTAATGGCTTTAACTTTCTTCTTGGCCGCTTCACGCCTTTTAGTCTTAGTTACAGCCTCAGCTAACTTTTTAGAAGGCTTTCTTAGATGTTGGTGCACTGCTCGCATCTTGCCTCCTCTGGACATATGTCCTCTCAGCACTTCCAGCAGGTACGATGAGAATCTCCCATGATCATGAACGATCACACTTCTTGCAACCAAGAGTAGAGGGAGACTCCATTACGACCTACAACACACCTCACACCAGCTTCTACTCACATACGCACGTACGATCGTCACTTTAATTAGCAACTATTAATATTGACTTACTGTGTCTGTTTTACTGAAAACTATAAGATTAATCTTAGACTAATGTGACTACTACCAATTGCTAGATCATTACAACTATAAAAATAATGTTGACTCTAGCACACACAGAAAAGAAATGAGATTCCCGCCATTACGCAATTCTGCTTTTTTGGGAACAACTAATTGTGTGATTGACAGTGAAGAGGACCTCTGTTGAAAATCTGATCATTTTAGTGGTGTGAGTGAATAAGCCAAAATACAGGATTTATGTCAAAGATGTAATAGAAGTAGAGCATTCTCAAGAATTATGTAGTATTTAGGAAATTCAAGGATATTTCAATAGTGAGATCCCGTTGTCTTGTGACGCTTGTCATAGACCTTAAACCTTATGAAAGACTTCTTGACAAACTAGACAAGGACATGGCGGACATTGCAAGGGTTAAAACTAGTATAATAAGTCGCCATTACAATCCCACGAAGAAAGATAATTTTGTGTTATTCAATGGATTCAATGATGTCTTATCACTGGAGAAGACACCGAAAAAGCTAAAAGAAATGTTTCAAGACTTTCAGATTCCAAGTAAGAGGAGGTCAAAGCAATCCGTACTTCCTTTTGTAGAAAAAGCTCTAAGTTTTCTGTTTGGCACAGAACCAGAAGAGGATTTGTAAGCCAAACATAAAAATGTTGAAATCTTATTTATGAATCAGAAAGCCTTATCTTATCATGTGGGTGTGATATTCCTTAACACAACAAGAACTTTAGAGGACAAGATGTTAAAATTAGAGCATTACGACTTAGTGAATTTGGGATGTTCATTAGTTGTCGGGAGAAATTCATGAAATTATCCAGAATTCTTTTTCTATGTGCAACATCTACAGTTACAGTTAAACATCCTTGCTATAGCAAGGTTGACACCTTGAACTATCATTCCTTCTAATTCAAGGACTGACATTCACCTCGTACAGTACATTTAACACAAGATCCTAGGAAGGAGTTGTGGCATTTCTATCGGACCTTACATAGTACTATGGTTATATATGAGCTTAAAATCATAGTCATTATGAATATCCTTCTATTAGATATTAATCGAAGATATGAAGTTCATAAAACACATCATTTACCTGTTCCAAGATTTGAGGTAACCTTCAATTGAACTGGTTAAGTAACATGGTTTCGCAATACCAGCTTGCAGTAAATATTCAGAGAAGAAAATTTGTTTTACTTACCTTAGAGGAGTTAAAAGCGTGTACTAAACGGGTTACTGTTCCATTCAAAGCACTGATTATCCTGTAATTCTCAGTAAGTTATGCAAAACCACATTATTTGTGAACAAAGAAGATGATGTTAAAGGGCAATGGCAAGTTATTATCAGGTTGAACTCTATCTTACCTCTAGCAGAGTATCTGACAGGTGGAGTATGGTTACCGTATTCGACCCATTAAGCGCCCTCCCAGTTCCGAAAATTTATATAGTAATTATTTCATTTTAAACAGAGACCATATACCGATATATGGTCTCTGGTTTTAAATGAAAATCGTCCGGGAACCGAGGTTTCCGGATTTTTGAAGTCCGTATAAGCGGGGCATGACTGTATTCTGTTTATTTTAGATATTTGTGACTTTGAATATTATGCGCAGAAAAAGATTACACCGTACCCCTTCAGCGAAGTCCGGCAAACGAACGGGTGATGAGAAACTTCGTCAGTACAAATTCGAAATTGGAGATAAAAAAAATCACCAGACATGTTGATTTACCGTTTAAATTGTATTTTTTTGGTTCAGCTAGGCATTGTTTTATATCCAGGGATTAAGATTACCTTGTGCATTTTCTCGTAAACTAAGCCGGACACAGCAATCAGCTGTACACACATTTTCTTGGAATCTACCGGTGATTCGGTCAAAACACACACAATGATATAACTTTACAGTCTTTTAAATGCAAGGATCGGCAAAAATTGTATCTGAAACTATTTTTTTATCATGAATAATATATTCCAATATCTTGTTAATTTAGATGCAGCTTTTACTAAACATATTTAAAATAATAATAACCCTAAGCGAAGCAGCTGATCGCTATTGCCGGGTATTATTTTTTACATGGAACCAGTCGAGAATTACGTGTTGACATAGAATCGTCCAACAAAAACAAATATGACTTTTAACAAATCGGAGTATGGCATTTATGATATATGTATCCATTCTCTGACAACTTAAGTTCGTTTCAAGGCGTCAATAGCGGTAATCTGACCGTAGTTGCTGTTAATAACGGTGAGTTGTGCGATCTTCCGATCGCTTCACACACGATTTCGCCGAAATTAATTAAAACAATATTAAAAGGAATTTTGAATAAAATTAATGAAATAAGTTACAAACAAAAGTCCAGATATACAAAGAACACTTTTTATAGCCAGACAGTGTAATTACATAATTATTTTGCGTACTTCAGTATGGATTTGTTGACATGGTATTTCCTGTGTTACGTGCTCACAGTAATGTCTTTCCATGGGGGAAAAAACATCAAAACTCATTAATTCGTGTATAGTGTGCACCCCCTTCTACAGAGCTGTGTTTTTTGGGGGGAAAAAAGTGCGCACTATTCTCAAGAAAATACGGTAAGGCTTACTGATGAATTTATGCCAATTTGACTCTGAATTGGTCCCAATAAGCGCCCACCCCTTCTGTCTTTTTTTAAGCGCCCTGGGCACTTAATGGGTCGAATACGGTAATTGCAACGAAAACAAAATTAGTTGTGTCAGTTATCTGTCATGATAATGTGGCAGTAACCTCCACAGTAATTGTTGAGCCACCTTTGGGCATAGTCAGACTTTAGTTGTTATGATTTGTTATGATTCCAATGATTATGTAACCCTGTCCCCAATTTATGGAAATGAAAACCAGTTCCACATCGAAGAAGCCTTCTTTGATGCGGTCCAAGTATTTAATGTTACTAGCCTTAAATGGTGGGAATCTGTTCATTCCACCCTCAGTAAGACAAATCTAACTAAATTGCCAGAGCTATTGAAGGACATCAAGACGATACCTATGGATCAGTTAATAGATGAACTGGTTAACCCGGCGGACTTGTTGGGTCACATACAGTTACGAGATGGCGCCAATGAATACGGAGGGAGAGGTTTCTATCCACAGACAAGACGTGTATTTTGCGCCACCATGTCAGGATGGAGGGAGAGCTGAGGACTCCTGGTCAAACCAGGACTCAAGGTGGCGTCGGCTGAGCTAGAGGGCATAGGTGTTGCCCACCGAGGAGGGATATCTTCTGCCCCATTGAGGGAAGTTGAGACGTCAGCAGAGGCTGTGACTAATGCAGTGTGACATCTGTATCCCTCCTTACAGTAAAGGGAAGGAAGGAGTTGGTGGGAGACTGAGGGAGCGCTGAATTGTTCCATCTGACGGTAACAAGAAGGGTGTGTGTTTCCTGGAGAATGATGATGCGACGGACGTCCCAACACACCCAGACTTGGGAAGCCACATCAGTGTAACTGTGTGTGACATGATTCCCCTGTGTACAGAACCATTACCAGAAACTTGTACTAGATATGAAGGTGGAAATAGTTCCCCAGTGTACAGAACATATAGAAAAGACTCATAGCCTATTTGAATTGTGGAGAGGGTTCTCCCAGTGAAATGGGTGACTCTGTTAGTTAGCGCAGATGTATGATAATAATAATGATCATTGTTAATTGATGAGTTTGTGTAAATACGTATAACTACATGTATGTCCATATGAATTATCTATGCGTGTTCTACTTTTAAAGATTAGTTGGCTCGAACATGTTAAATTGGCTCAATATGTTGATTTGCTCAAAGAAATCTCCATAGGATATTTCTAATCAGTAGGGAGCAAGTGTAATAACAATGCGTGTTAGTCCGATCTGACGTTGATTAATAAATAATTTGCATACTCGTATATGCAAGGGGCTAACGTATGGTTCCTGTAGGAAGTGACAACTTGGAGACGATGGCTTGCGGTATATACAGTTTTACTTTATACATGTAGATATATACATACAAAAGACACTATGTGCCAGATCAGCACATAGTGGTTGTGGTTGTTGTCTAGGTGCCCCGGAGCAC